TGATTAATAGTTGTCCATTAATTAGAAATGTGTTATGGTAGATATTTCGAATGTAAGCATACTAATTTCTATGAAAAAAATAAAATAACTTAAAAAGAAAATTATTACGCAGACATGTTGTTATACACATCATGTACTGTTTTAGGCATATTAACATACAGTCAAACATGGTACTGAGAAAAATGATATGTAATATATAATAATTCTCTCATCGATTTTTCAGTTTAAAAAGTAAAACATTAGAAAATATTATAATCTATTAATAAATCAACTACTACATTTATGAATTCAATCGAAAAGAAAAATAAAATAAAACTTCATAAAATAGTAATTTAAACAAAAATTTATTTATTACAAAAATATTGACACAACTACTAAAATCAATTACGAAATTGCTTATAAATTAAATTATATAAGACAATGAGTTTTATTATATTGATAAGAGTTTAGATGTGGATTTATCAACATTGGGTTCTAACCATTGCACTTCCGGATCGTTCATTTTTGTTGCTGTTGTAATTACACTAACAATTAATAGGAAAAGCATTAAACCAATAATAGTATACAAAATCAATGATAATGTTAATGCTAGTTTTCTTAATCTTTGAATAAGAACAGTACGTTTTCTTTGCATATTTAATACACTATTAACTTCATTTAAAAAATCCCAAAAAACTGTTCCATGTGGTACATCTTGTTTACTAAAATAATAAAGTAAATTTTGTAATGCTAATGGTTCTTCACCAAGACGATCATAAATAAGTGCATCTCCTGGTTTAACATGACTTGTATCATAATCTTTAATACGAGTCTCATCAACGGCTAATTTAAAATGTTTAACAGCATAAAAATTTTCTTCTCTATCAATATTTTTTATTTCTTCTTGTGCACGTTTTAATTCACGTTTCATTTGTAAACCAATATAAAAATCTGGTACGGATTTATCACGTCCACGTTCATTATAACCCATAAAACGAATACGATGTAAATTACGACGTACAATTAACCAACGAGATTTCTGACGAAGAGCTGTAGCTGTTTGTGGTGCATGATAATCAGGTTCTGTCAAACGTTTACGAGAGCCTCGAGACGATGAAGATGATGGAGATGGAGATTTTGAAGTGCGAGATTTTGAAGTACGAGATTTACCAGCTGGAACTTGTAGAGATGCATTAGTTACATCAGATGGATTTGTTATTACATGAATTTCTTGTTCGGGTCTCGAAACACGTAGAAGTCGTGTACGGGTTGATTGAGCCATTTATATTTTATCAATAATAGTATATCTAAATGTCAATATGTACATACAATTTATATAGTGCTTGTAAACTGCCTCGACTGTATATAAATCGAACAAAAAAAAAAAAGCATATCGACGATATACTTCAATTCAAATTGGTAAAAAAACTGATATGACAAAATGATATCAGTAGAAATATACTACGCACATAATTCGAACTCAAATATACAGACTATAAAAAATACGAATATATTTTCTCCTTTAAATAACATAATCTTATTTCATCAGATTAATCCTTTCTTTTTCGTTTTTGAATTTTAATCAAATGTCAGTATTATAATTGATGACTATTGTCAACTGAGTTATAAAATACAGATATCATCGCAAGGATCAAAACAATATTCTAGACTAATAAAACCGAAAAAAAAGACCGCCTAATGGTTGATGCGCAAAGGCATATGAACTATTGTCGTGATTTGTTTCCTATTCTTCTGCATATATGCTTACGTATTGATGGATCATTAACGATGATAAATCACAAGGTTTTACATTATAGTCTCTATAATATTAAAGGAAGGTAAAAAAAAAAGACGAAAAAAAATTAAAATATGCAATGCGTCAACTACGATGAAGAACCACATTTGTGTCATATTATCAAGGTAGACGTCGCGCACATATGTATTTATTTATCAGGCAAATGAATCTTTATGTATAATATACTTTTAGATATATAACCGAAAAAGCGAGAGAGAAAAAAAAAGAGCAAGATGAAAAAGCAAACGAAAGAAAAGACATATTATTTACGAGTGACTAAATTGTTTACAAAGGTATATCTACAGATGTGTTTAGGCGAAATCAATGTGACATTGTAATATGTCTACCAATTAATTTTTTTTTCGTTCTTTTATTTTACATTGGTAGAATTATTTCGTCCTGGATTATAAAAAGAATAAACGACATTTTGTTCTAAAAAATATAATGTTCTACTTCATCTATTGTTTCATGATAAAATTTCGAAACGAATGAAGAAAGTATAAATAGCTACAGTTTACTTTATTTCAGGCGTAACTAACTTATAAAGCAAAAGAAAAGTCCGTAACATACTTTTTTTTGAAGACGAGTACATTATTCGAAATTAAAAAAAGACTTAAAAGTTAAAATCAATATTAATTTTTACTAACCGTTTGCCTATCAAATAGATTTATTGTGCGTAAATATATACTTGTGATATAATGGTTTAGAGAAAGCAAAAATTGAAATTGACAATGACAAAGAGAACTAAATAGAGATATAGACAATTTGTTAATGTAGATATAAGTAATAGATGGATAGTCCGTCGAGAGATTGATTATATATACCAAATAGCTATTATATTGATTACAAAGAATGAAAGAAGACGAAAATGAATAGATCAATGTTTTTAAATGGTTTATTATTGCTTTACCTTCGTATTCATTCAAGCGTTGCTATTTATTTACCTACACCTCTTTAACATAACTTTATTTATATATAATAATACTTCCATTTAAGTACACGAGTAATTACTGGTGATTAATTTCATCATTGCGTATTTCATATCTTTTGATACAAAATTTCATATGATCGATAAATTTTTTTTTTTCACTTGGTACTACACAACTCTATTAGGCGTTGTCTTATTTATAGGTTGGTATCATATCTATTGTTAAACAACACAATCATTCAGGTAACTCAGACAATGATAGAAACAATAGATATTATATTTCATACAAATGATCATATGCTGTACACCCTTAGTACAAAGTTCGCTTAACATATTTCACATACATTGTCTAATGATTACTGGTAAAAGTTATTTCTAATTTAGATGATTTGAATTTTTTACGTAATAAAATATTTATAATTTATGTATAAAGCAATAAAATTCATACGAAATCTGAATGCACAAACGACTAAGTGTTATTACTCGATTAATAAAGATCTTCGTGTGCATTGAAATGAATATTAATCAGTTATAGAATCATATAAATAAAAAAAAATAGAGATAAATATCAAGTTATTCTTATCTACAAAGGACTTACAAACAAATATTATGACATGATGAATAAGGATAACTTGAAGCCTTAACATTTACTATGAATCCAATGAAATAAAATATTAAGAACAACGATCTTTTGGACTAAGAGTGTAACGTATTAAGAAAGAAAAAAACTAAGGATTCGAGAATAAGATAAGTTGACTTTTCATATGAATAAGAAGTCATATAATTTATTATTAATAGCAGATATTAAACCGCAAAGTACATATATATGAAATTGATTCAACAATAAATGTAAAATCAAATTATAATTCTAGACTTTTTTTATTCTCAGAAACAAATCATAAACTTCAATAATTTATTGTTAGATAAACATTGTATTATTTGCATTCTTTTTTTATTATTTTCTTTTCTTTTTATAACTTATTATTCCTATAAAATCCTTCATTATTGATGTTGACTCATTTCTTTTAAAAACTCCCTGTCAATATTTATGTATAACCTGTTCTGATCCTCAACATATTGGTGTACATCTTATTCTTCATTTCTTTTTCCTATTATATATATTTCAAGAAAGTTCATTTTACAATTTTATAAAACTTTAAAGTTGTTTCTACAGTTGTTGCTGATTGACGCCATTCAATTCCTCCGTCAGGATCATCTCTATACATCGCTCGTAAATTTGATGTTGTTGTAAATACACTAACAATTAATGAAAAAAACATGAGAGCCAAAAAAATAGAAATAACTATTGTTATAATTGTTGCAACTTTACGAAACACAGCTGCACGATTAATTCGTTGTCGATCTTGATATAATATTGAACAAACATCAGATAAGAATGGTCGAAATACACTATTGTATGGTACAACACATTCTTTTGAAAAATAATAAAGTAAAGCTTGAAGGACAACAGGTTGAGATTGAAAAGCTGGATGATATATTGCATTCGAAGGTTGTAAATGTGAAACATTATAGCGTCGATTATGTGTTTCATCAGTTGGTAAGTTAAAATAATCAATAGGAGTATAATGTGATCGTTCAATTTGTTCAATAGAGTTTTGTGCACGTTGTAATTCACGTCTCACTTGCCAATAAATATACAAATAACGTAATTGTGGATGAACATTGTCTAGATTTATACCACCCCAACTACGAATTTTATGTATATTATGTCGAACTATATTCCATTTCGAATTTGGTCGAAGTGTATGTGAAGTTAATGGTGCTTGATAATCATCATCATCATCGATTAAACGTGATTGAGCATCAGCAAATGGATTTGTAATTATATGTAATTCTTGTTCTTGTTTTGCGAATTTAGGTACTAAATATTTTACACGATGAGACATATTGATTAAAATTCAACTAAATATATATATAGATTTATAATAATAAAAGTTAGGTTCGATTGATATACCTATAATCTTATTTTATTTACCTATGTATATATAATTCATATAATCAAGTTTCTGTTCTGTTCTTGGTAAAAATGAGAACAGAGGAGAAGAAAAAAAAAGAATTTGCATCACGTTCTTCTTCTTCTCTTTATTATTTATTTATTTTTTTTATATAAAAATATTTGTTAACTTATGTCTATATAAAATGATATTTAATACTTGATTATATCATGGACAACAAATATCAGCATATATCTATGACTGTCTCTTTTTCGTTTATACCTTGTAGATAGTATAACCGGATATTCTTTTATTGTAGATGTCTACACAAAGATTAGTTTCTTTCTTTTTTTATTACAGATGCTTTGTAGAGTAAGCCATGTATGATGAGGGGAAGAAAAAAAGAAAGACTGATTAATCAATGGCTTCTGTTGAAAGTAACTTATAACAATAAGTTACACTTTATGATACTCGATGTTTTCTTTTGCAAGACTTGAAAGTGACAATCTAATATAATGAGAATATTTTATGGTCGAAGGTCAGACGAGTAAAATGACTGTGATTATCGTTTTATTTAGAAAATTTATTCGAATTAATATTTTAATTTATTTAAACGATTGATTTCTCTTTAAAAAAATTCGATGTTGGATACTTTTATGATTTATACACACTAATAATATACCATTTTCTTCACAGACAGACAGATTATTATAACATTGAAAATAAAAGCTTGAAGTAAAATACTTTTTAAGTATTAATAGAAGAAGAAATTATATCTCCAAGTATTAATACCATTATGGTTTCATGGACAACTGATTTAACTAAAAGTAATATTTCGTTTTTTCTTTCGATGAATCTACTCACAGCATCAAGTTTCTATGCAACTTTTATCATATTATGAAACTATCAAACTTTTCTTAATCCGAAATGCCAAAGAATTTTTATGATCGATTAATTAAGATCATTAGAACTTATTCTCTCAGTATTGACATCGAATTAGATATAAATAAGTCAAGCAGTAACAACTGTACTTAGACATAAGTTTTACCGATCAAATAAATCCATCATTTGTATATAATTTTCTATGCATACAACATGTGGTAATCGATGTAAATATATAGTTACATATTCCATATGTTTCTCACATGAATAACTAATCATAAACTTTAAAAAAAAGAATTCATTTATGTTAATTTAGTACTTGAGTATTTCTATTTTCAAACAATTTAATTCAAATAATATAACTTTTGATCGATAAAATATCAAAATATTTGTTACTGTTTTCGAATTGAAATTCTTATTTTATTTTCGTTTCTGGTTTTAATAAAAATTTCACACATTCTCTTACAGTTAAATACATATAACTAATGTTCTAAGATAAACAAAATGCAAGGAGCTTGATTGAAAAAAAAATGTATGCGCGAATATAAATATATATATATGTATAACTATATACAATATAATTGTTGTTCTAATTAAAACTGGGTCATTTCTTCTCCAAGTTCTTCGTTAGGATCATTCATATACGATTGTTCTGGTAATCTATTGGTTGATTTAGGTTTTTCTGGTGGTGATGATGAACCACCACGATTAAGTTCTTTAAGATCTTTTTGTTCTTGAAATTTATCTCGAAATGATGTTTGACTTTTAAGCGTATCAACTAATGGATTGCCTGGTTTTGATGCAATTTCACCACTACAAAGAAAGAAAAATATGATTTTTAAAATTTTTTTTTATTTGAAACATACATAACATCAATAACCCAATCACGAAATATTGGTAATAATTGATCATCCATCGATGGAAGTACAGCCATACGCTAAACAATAATAAAATTCGATGAAAATACATTTTTATAGATTTTCAACTTACTTTAATTTCATCGCGAATACGTGCTTCAAGAAAATCATGAATTAATGTATATGAATATTTACTTTCACCAAAGACAGGTGTCACTTTAAGATTAAGATCAGGCATTTCAGGAAAACCAATCCTATAGAAAGAGAAATATTCTATCTTAAAAAAAAGAAATTATAATATTACCATATACGATCACTTGGTGGTGGTGGAATGTTAATCTTAATATTGAAGAAAAGAAGATTGTTTTTTTTTTATAAGAAATGAATTTATACTATTCAACTTACAGTCATCATACCACTAAAACTAGATAGTTCAACTTTTGCACCAACTTCAGCATTAGATAATTTTTCAATAACACCAGCAACTGGTTTTAATGCCGCAAAACGTTGAAAATGTTTGTTCGCAGCAACTTTTGTCAATAAAGCACCTAATTTACGTGCTGCGGCACTAAATTTTGTATATTTATATATAAATAAATTTTATTCTTAAGAATAATTAAATTAACAAACTTTTCAGGTATTTCCGGTTCCTTAGCTAATAATTTCTGTCTTTGAAGAAGATCATCATCATCAATTTTTTCATCAGTATTAGTAGGTTGACCCGAATGATGTTGAGCATACATTGGTTGATCATATGTAGGATTATAATTAAGTAATCGTTGAAGAACCAAACGAGTTTTAATTGTAATTCTAAAAATAAAATTTTTTATATTCTCTGTAATTATACGGCAGTAAACAATCGTATCAAGAAGAATGTACTGGTTTTGAAATATATGCTTAGTCAGATTAAAATTGACGTTTTCAATGCTATGAACAAAATTCAGTTTGTATCTGTTTACCGTGAACCGATAAAAATGAGTGAAAACGCTTACAAATCAAATAACTCTAAATGCATTGTACTTCGTGTCAACTACAGCTAAATCTCGCTTTATCAGCTTTCATTTTCTTTCTTCGACAATTGAATGATATTTGTTTTAGTAGGAAATATTTCATTTGAAAGATAAAACTTACTTAAAACTGCCTCGATAGAAAAAGAATAAATTAAACCAAATTCCTTTTGCATTAAATTGCATTGGTTCAACTTTAAGTATAACAGGAAATGTATTTCCTAAATCAATTGTTTCAACATGAAGATCGTCTAATACAGATACCTAAACGAAAATATCGATATAAATATTACATTTAAAATTTTATAGAATGTCATTACAGCAATTTCTTTTAATTTGAGTTCAATTTTTTCTTTCATTAAATCTTTGAATAATGGTTCTTCGAAAACATCACAAAGTAATCGGCGTGCAAGAAAATTTAATGTTATAGCTGCTTCATCAAGACAATCAGGTTGATCAAGTATACGTTCAAGATTTTCTTCTTGTTTACGAAGTTTTTTTTTCGTTGATGCTGTTTGATGTGAACCTGTAGCTTCCTTATCTTTGTCTGCATCTTTATCATTCGATTTTTTATCTTTTTCTTTTTCTTTTTCTAATGTTTCAGTTCGTAATTCTTGTGCAGTTACACGAGCTTGAGCCATATCAGCACGAATATCAGCTTCATTAATTTGACTACGAAGTGCTTCTGTATCACCTTTTTCTGTTGCTGTTGTATCAGCATAAGGTGGACCAACAGATTCAGCTTGTTTCATTTGTACACGTTCTTCAAGATTAGTTGTATTTGGTTGCATTTCACTAGCACGTGTACCTAATGTTGGAATTTGTACATCAGGAATACTTTGGGCTATCATATTCAATGCTGTAGGTGCAGAACTAGCAGCAACTGAAGGTGCTGATGGTGCACCCATTGAAGCAAGAGTAGCACGTTCAATTTCTTCTTTGCCCCGACGTAATACAAGTGATAATCTAAAATATTTTATATATAGAAAGAGAAATTTCGATAAAAATATAATAATTTACTTGTGAAACCAATCTTCTTTATCAGGTCCAGTTTCAAAGAAAATACTAATTGCTGTTTGAGTATTATTAAAAAAATCATCTGTATCAAATTTTGACTTTTCTGCAAATTCATGACTATAAATTTCTGGGCCTAATAATTTTAGATCTTGTACAATAATTGGATATTCATGAACCCAATATTTAATACGGGTCATTGTTGCTTCAGGAACAAGCATAATGTTCGCTTCTGAAAATAAAAATAGAAATATTTTAATAATTATTATCAAATTACTATTAACTATTTCAATTTATATGACTTCCTTTTGCTCTTATTATGCTACTTTTCTTTGACATTACGTGATTTTTCTTACCGTTGAGAATATATTCTCGATGTCCAACAAATCGCACTTCTCTATCTTTGTTTTCTTCTTCTTTAGCTTGTGTTGGTAATTGAATAGTAAGGTGATAATTTTCCAAACGAAGAACAACTGGATAACGAACGTAATTATCATCTTGATCAGCATCATATTTACCAAAAAGAATTTCTCCACATGTCTAAATGAATAATAATATTCTTATTTAAATAATAATACATAGAAATTCCTACATGTAAAGTTGTATGTTTATCTTCTTTAGGTGTTTTAGCTTCATGAAATTTTTCTAATTCAGGAAAATCAATCCATTCATGAACAACACTTTCATCAGCTTTAAAATGCACATAAATCCGTGTTAACATATAAGCAATAGCTGCAATAATCATAAATCCAACAAAAAATCCACTAAAAAATGCTGAAAATGGTTTCCATAATGTTATGAGTAATGCAAAAAATGCAACAGCACCCTAATAGAAAACAAAAAAAGATTATTTACTTATAAAAACAAAACAAAAAAAGATTTCTTTACCGATATTGGATAAATTGTATTTTTTTTTAGATCAAATTCAGGTTCAACAGTATGATAACGAAATTTTGGTCCAGCTAATAACATAGTTGGTTTTCGCATACTTTTATCAAGACGAACCAGTGTTGGTTTTGCTGCTAAATCAACTGGGTCAACTTTATGTATAATATATTCTTCTGAACCACTTTCACTTGTTGCTCGACTTTGACTTCGATAAAGTTCATTACGTACACCATGCATTATTAAATCTTTAGCTTGCGTAGAATTTTCAGTTGAAAATATATCGCTGAATGAGCGCATAGAATCACTATGTACCATGCCAGCTGTTGCAGCGGATAATGTATCAGTTGTTGGCTTTTTTCCAAAACCCATTGCCAATTGTGAGATTGAAAACTGACGTTCAGTAGTCGGAACATCTTCGCCTATTCATTCAAAGAAAAAAAAAAACATGAAATATATTTCTTTTAGAATTAGTGAAATAAGAAAATAACTTTTTTTTGAAAAACGTACGTTTGGTTATAGTCTCGACGTGTTCCATTTTTATTACGATAAACTTATTATGACTTCGAAATGAAAAACGCAAATGAAAAAAATCATACTATCTTTTCTCTCTTTTTCTCTTATCCAATGTGAGTGTGTTTTTTTCGTTCTGTTCTGTTCTTACCAGTACGACTCGGTTGATTTTCAGTTGGTGTTGGAGGTTTTTTTTCGTTAACCAATGAATCATCTGACATATTTACTTTTGATGTATAATGTATTTGATTTGAATTAATACTATTATGAGATTGTCTGCGACGTTCAATATTGTCGGCAATATCTTCTTTAAAATTTGTTATTTTTTGACCAAGTTTTTCTAGAACACGACTGTTCTTCTTGTGAAAATCATTATTAATATTACTCATTTTCGGACCGTATCGCCGTTAATAGTAATTTTGACGAATTACTTTCAAGGAAATTTTGTTAATAAATTTATTTCGTCTAGAAATAGAAGAAAAAAATTGATATCCTATGACCGTGTACTCCATCAACTTTGTTCGTTCTCCTCTATCATTTTTACGAGTAAGAGAACGTCTAACAAACGTCATTAAAAAAAACAAGGGCAGCAAAAGAACCGGGGAAGCAAGAAATGAAGAAAAGATATACATAAAATGTTCAATGTTCAAGAGCGATAAATTATTTGTAATAAGCAAATATTTAATGATTAACAAAATCTATCGAAAAAAAAAATCCGATAGATGGTCAGTCTATTTTCTTTATTCATTTAACATATGGGGAGACAGTTATGTAATAGATTTTCATTTTGAAGAATAAGTTCGATTCTTCTTTCTTTTTATTTCGAATAAGATGATCGAATAATAAGAAAATGACGTATGTTGATAAAGGTAATAATTGTACTGTATACAAGTACTTTAGATTAAGATAAGAGTCAAAGAGTTTATATAAACATATGTGTTTCTATTCTCTCAATAGGACAATAATAATAATCGTATACATCAGATAGAAAAAAAAATAATAAACTCAAACTGAGTTAAGGAAAACAACAATATAATAGATCTAAATTTTGTTTGTTCAAAACTAATAATAACGAACAAATCTCAAGAGTATATTAACATCTTTATAGATGTCGTTACTTATCGTTTAGCTATAATTAGTTTTGAAGACATTGAAAATCCAAAGTACAATAAAATCTCTTATAGTGGCATACTTCTTACAAATAATAGTATATTTTATAATAACAAAAGCAAAAGTATAACTTGTTGTTCATCAATTAGAATTACAATAGAGGAAACAGAAACGTCTATTTTGTTAGATCGATGAAAAATAAAAATAATGATGATGGTACTGGTGTATTTATCTAATTCTATAATTATAAGGAAAGAAAAAGAGCATCATGTCAAATTAAAAAGCGTCAAGTTTGGAACAAAAAAAAGCCTTGATCAGAGACAAGTAAAATGATGATGATTCAATGAATGAATGTAGGAGTCGATGTGTGTCATGTATATATTTTACCTACATCCACATTCACCCTGAGAGGCTGCATTACCATCTATTGATTTTTCTTGTTTTTTTGAAAATATTAATATTATTTAGCTTATTGTCATATTCGTTGAAGCGTCAGATATCTCAAAGCGTTCTTCTTTTCTTTTTAAATTAATCTCTCTCCAGTAATTACTTTTAGAAGTATTCACTACATTGAAGTTGTACTATATCAATGACAAATTGTAGGTTTTAAATTACTAGTCAAATAGAAGAAATTTCTTTCGATTCTTTTATGATGATGTAATACAAGTGTTCTTTTAACGTCTTTGTTTTGATTTTTAATCGTATAAGGAGTAGACTTGTCATACGGTGTATATTCTATAGGTTTTGTTCGCTCGATTATTTCGATCGAAAGAGAAACGATATTTTTATTGTTCTACGATATCAACTTTTTGTTTTTCTCGTCACACATCAAAACTTAATCGTATTTCTCTACTTGAAAGAAAATAGTTTTGCATCTTTAAAAAAATCCCGAGAAATCTCCTAATATTTTTAAGTATCAAAAGTAACTAATAAGTGTATTCAAGTTGCTTATTTTTTGGGTGGTTTTCATATAGCTTTAATCATAAAGTCTCTTTTTCAATGATGAAATGCGTACATTTTCTCGATATGATCAATTGTGGATTTTCCTCTAGTTTGTGCAAAATTTCTCGAAGAAAACTATATAAAAACTTTAAAGTTAAATATCGCGTAATTTAATATTCAAAATGATGATGAAAACTGTAAATAAATCAAATTATTCAAATTTTTAGCATAGATGGCGATATTCGATAAAATAACAATAAATTTGTTAAAAATAATTTTTTAGTTGAATAAAAAAAAGATAATCATTAAGCTTTGTAAAATTATTAGTAGAAACATTTTTATATTGTTGTAAAGAATTTTATGAAGACATATTGTTTGTTTCCTAGCAACTATCATTATATTTTTTACATGAAATATGCTGTTTAATTGACATGTAGTTCTGTTTCATCATGGTTCCGACACGTGTTTTAATGTAAGATTTTTTTTCATATCTTTAAGAAGAAATAATTTTTTTTATATAGAAAATATGGTCCATATAAATCTTTCACTGGTGTTGGACATAAGCCTGATCGTATAAAGGGTCTTGAAAGTAAATTCTTTGATTGTAAAAATAAATTTATTATGAATTATTTATTTTAGTTTTTTTAACAAATCTTGGCTATTTGGTTAGCACTGAAACTATTCCAATTCGTAATGTTTGTGAAGTTCATGCTTATGATTTAAAAGTATTTGAATGTGATATTCGTGATCTTCAATTTAGTGGTGATGGTGATTTAGATGATTTATGTCATCAAGCTCTTCGGAAAATAACTGATGTAACATCACCATCATCAACATCATCTTAATTTATATATTTATTTATCTTTTCAAAAATCAATAAAAATTCTTTTTTTGAAAAAAAAAATCTTCTTTTTGTTTTGTATTCATTTTGGTCCAGTAAAATGTTTACGTAATGATGACCAACATTTAAAATAATCATGATCGACACGGTGACATGATTTCATACTCCAATGTGTTAATGCTAAACTTAAAGATGTTTCAAACATAAATGCTAATGAACCTTCAGCGATACGCATTGGTTTACATTCATCTTTAATAGCACTTTCATAACAAGCAGAATCTGGACCATGTGGTGTCATACAACTATGAAGTGTTGCACCACCAGCTTGAAAACCTTCTTTTGCTTCATATTTTCCAGTTATAAGACCCATAAATTCAGTCATACAATTTCCTAGAAAATAAAAATATTTAAAAATCTCGTTTTTTTCTTTTCTTCTAATTTCATTTACGATGATAATACGGTGGTCGAAATGTATGTTCTTGAACAGACCATCGAGGTGGAAAAATAACAAAATCAGCAATAGCTGTACCATGTTTTAATGAAGGACATGTTAAAACAGTAAATATCGATGGATCCTTAAGAAAATTCTCTTTCAATTCGCAATTAAGATATTGGACAAAAAGAACATACCATATGATCAATTGATACAGAATTGACTACAACAAATTTTCGTAAATCATATTTATACGGTGCATAATTTCCATGCCAAGCAACAACATCATAACATGAATGATTCTAAAAGAAAGTCTATCTTAAGAAAAAAAGAAAATCGACTTTAAATCTATTTACTAATTTTGATTGAAATAAACTTCCTTGATATTTTTGAACAACAGTAAATTCACATTCTCGATCTTCATACCAAGCTTTAAACAAAAAAATAAATAAACCATAAGAATTTTTAGTTTTTATTACCTGTTGGTGTTTCAAAATCACGTGGATTTGCTAAGCCATTAGCACCTGTAAAATAAAAATATAGATAAAAGAAAACAGTTACTTCTAAATTTTTACCAATTGGTCCCAAATCTGGTAAACGAAAATGATTATCAAATACTTCAAGTACATAACCACGTGATGGTTGATCAACATCTACTGAAAATCGAATTCCTTGCTAAGAAAAATAAAACTTTCTCAGTTCGAATAATTAGAAATTATTAATTCAATACTTGAATAACACAAATTTCTTCTGGTTTAACTAACATTCGACCAAATTCTGTTGTTATACGTAATGCTCCATGTTGTGGAACTATTTTAGAACTAATAAAAAAATTTCAATTAATACAGAATAAATAAATTACCAATAAGAAAATCTCCATCAGCATTACAAAAAGCACGATCATTCATTGAACTATTGCAAGCATAGATTGAAATAGCAGCACCATGACGGGAACATGGATCACCAGCGCCACATACTGTTGCTAAACCCTAAAGAAATACGAATATATTTTTCTATAAATCAAAATTTATTTTTACATCAATAAAATCTTTCTTTTCATCTTCAATTGATGGAATTTCAAATGGATTCCATCGTGTTCGATTTGGATTAGGTTCTGATTTATCCCATTGATTTGTTATTAAATCAGATTTAACCGGGCTAAATGGTTCATGAAATACGGCTGGTAATATACGATAAAACCAACTACAGAAAATAAAATTTAAATCGTTTATTTTTTTGACTTCTAAGATTAAATTATTTACGTTCGTTGATTAGTTTCTCTTGGTGCTGTAAATGCTGTACCAGATAATTGTTCAGCATAAAGACCATATGGACATATTTGCGGTGAATTCTTTAATAAGAAAAATCCACTTAAAAAAGTAGTTTTATTTTTATAATTTTTACTTGGTCTTTTGGTAATGAATTTGGACAACGTGGGTCTTCGGATGAAAAATGATTGCCGAAACCACTATGATACTATGAGAAGATCAATAAAATGTTCGAATCAAACAAAATGAAAAAAAAAGTACAATATTGTTATTTACTTTTAAGTCTTCCCAATCAGTAACCATCTTTTAAGTTTTAGTATAACAATGCACGTCTATATAGATATGTATGAAATGTTTTATCTAATGTACAGAGATACGCGCACACCTTCGTTGTTAACCATGTGATTCTTTTGTTTATTTTTCTTATCTTTTTCTTTTCTTTATCTTTATTATTATCTTCTTCTTCAAAGTTTTGACATAGTAAAATACTATTCGAATTATTGTTGTTCTTATTATTAGTGGATGATATACGAGAGATGCAAATAGAAATATAAGATTCAATTTCATATGAAGATTGAATTCGATTTAAGTTATAAATAAAATTCTATTTGTGTAAAGAAGAAGAAAAAACGAATTAAAGAAGCAACAAGAGAATGAAGAGATTTCTTTTTCTTGATGAAAAAATCATACGATGCGCACTGTTTATAATGAGCAAATATTGATCATATATAAAGCATGTCTATAAAAGAGAAATGTGTAAAGAAAAAAATAGAGACATTTTCTTGCTTTTTTACAACGAAGAATCGATCAAATGAATATTTCGAGTTTGTCTCTAACGAGTGTTATAAACATAAAATTATATAGTTGAAGAGGAAAAAATGAAGTGTTTGTTATTGTGCTCGGCATTTGTAAGTATGATTTATGAGAGGCATCACAAATACATTGAAGGTGCACAAGCATAAACCGCAGCTTCGTGAGAGAATTTATAGTTTCGTTCTTTTTCTCTAACAATCCGCTGAGGCGGTAAGGCAAAGGCAAATAATGTAAATGTATTATTAATAAATAGTTATAGATTCATTTTTTTTCTCATTTACACTCAATAAAATCTTCATATTGATAAAAATACTTAACTTTCATCACTCTACTTAGAAACAAAAAGAAAAAAAAGGTAACTCTTTAAAAATATGGATGTCGAATATACAGTTACAGAAAATCTACATCGTAATCGCGGTGGTCAATTAGTACAAATTGATTATCAATTTGACGAAACAACAACTATTGAAACAACATCAACAGCTTCATCAACAAGTATAACACGACAAAATAAAGAAAAACGAAATCGTACATATGATGCAACAATAACACGTGAGCAATATCAGAATCTTGCCAATCGTCTTCCAAATCCATTACCATTTGAAGCATTTATTAATGTTTTACGTCCATTTATTATGGGATTTTATACAAGTGATGAACTTGAACGTGCCTTTTCTACATTAGATCGTGATCGTTCAGGTTCAATCCATATCGATGAACTAAGTTCATTTTTACCGATATTAAATGATACAATCAATGGCGATGCTTTACGTGATTATATACGTAAAGTTGATGAAAATTTTGATGGAAATATGAATTATGATGAATTTCGTTCACTTGTTTTACGTGGTATTGGTCGAGATATTATTTGTAATCATTTATAAAATAACAAAAACATTTTCGGTATTTTTTTCTTCTTAGATGGCATAGTTTTTCTTTTTCCTTTTTAATTTAATCAATTCATCTTTTGTGCTATAACCACACAAAATAACAGAATAAAAAAACACAAAAACAAAAACAAAAGTCTCGACTAAGTATTATTTTTGTCGAGTTTATAGATAAGTACAGCATTTTTAGCTGATTTTATTGTCCACCATCGGCCAAGTCGATGTTCTTGACCAATACCGACGACTAAATAATTACCATCGGGTGAAAATTTTAGATCATTAACAAAGCCAATCTAGTTAATACAGATATAAATACATAAGAAATACAAAAAAATAGAAATTCTTACTTGTGATAATGTGAAAAGATGTATCAAATGATTAAATTCTGGTGTTGATTTCCATAAATTGATAGTTCCATTAAATGAACCTGATGCAAGTAAATCTGTGTAACGAAGTGAAGCTAATGATGTTATCCAAAAATCTTCGGGTAATGATTCTGGTATTAAAGCTGGATCAACGGATGTTACTTTGTGAGCATGAGGTAGATTGAATAGAGGACGCCGTTTTGATACAGACCAAAGAGCAATTGATCTAAAAAGTTTCATTTAAGATCAATCTTATATATTCTAACGAACATGTTTCAATCGAATGTTTGTTTTAGAAGTTTTTGAGAAAAAGATGAAAGAATCATTCAGGTGTATTTAATTCGACTCTTCAGTTTTTTTGCCCTTGAATATTCTACATATAAGTTTAGATCTCCGCTGTGAAATACTATTGGATATAACTTTTTTCTCGACAATAGAATAAACATTTGCGATTTCTTTCAATGCATAAAATAACAATATATGTTTACGCATATTTACATTCTTTGATTTATTTATCTTTCATAATTCGAAATCGAACAAATGTTTTTTTGTCTGACTAAAGTCTTGAATACCCTAGAAATTTATTTTTAAATAACATACCCATCATCAGCTCCAGAGACCATATGTTCATCATTAATCAATGCTACACAATCAATCGCACCTCTATAAAATCAAATAAATTTAATTTTTTGTAAAAAAGATTGTAACATACTTATGTCCAGTGAACATTAAATGTGATTCTTCAACAATTTTCCATAATCTTAATGAACCATCACGTCCACCAGCAGTTACACATCGTTCACGCATTAAGGCATCAATTGCTTGAATTGGTTCTTGATGACCATATCTGTTATAAAGACATATGTTTCGAAAAATTTATTTCGCTCTAAACTTACAATGTTTCTACATAAGTCATTTCATCTAAATTCCAGAGTTTAACTGAACGATCCTGAGAAGAACTGAATAATTGATGAGAATTACGACGAAAAGCAAGACCCTAAATATACATATGTAATTTTGTTGATTTTAGAAAATAAATGAATTAATTACTGTAATTGGTCCTTGATGACCACGAAGAGTTTTTATATGTTGACAGGTTTGTGCATTCCATACTTGTATTAAATTTGATTTATCTCCTGATACCTAAAATTCAATAATTAAATAATTTATTTTCGAGAAAAAAAGAAACTTAATATTTACCAAAAATTGTCCATCTGTTGAAATATTAATAGCAAGAATATGATCATAATGTCCAATAACTGGTAAACGTTCATTTTTCTTATCAATTTTACCAATTCGACGTATTAAATGAAGTTTTTTTCCCGTTGATAAACACCCTAATTGAAATATTTATTTTTGTAAAATATTTTCTATAACTTACATTTAATAATACTACAATCTTTTGCTCCCGTAAATGCATATTTATTATCATTCGAAATACACACACAGGTTACACTTTGTTGATGACCATGACAACTATGAAGAAGAATTGGTTGAGAATACTAATATAAATAAAAAAATATTATATTTTCATTGTCAATTTTTTTTCTATCTTACATTAGAAGCAACTTGACGATGAAGTTTTCCAGCTTGTTCAAGCTACAAAAGATGAATAAATCAAAGAAATATATGAATTACCTTCAAAATCTCGAAATTGGAAGAAGCTAGAAAATAATCACAAAGCGTAGGGAAGCATTCTGCTATGACGTTTTCTTACGCTAACTTCAAAGGGTGGGCGTGGATGATTTTATCTTTCTCAACCAAACCCTCAAGATGGTTTTTCGAAATTTTCTCTTTCGATTATCGAGTTTTTTCGAGATTTTGATATCATCCCAAATATATATTATATCATTTAAACATACCACATCATCACGAAGACGATCGGAGACAGTATCACGGTCAAGTTCTTTTTCGTGTTCTAAAGAAGATCAATAAAGTTTTTTGTTTAATTTAAAATTAAGAAATGAACCTTGTTTTGCTATCTGTTCAATATATTCTTTAGCTCTTTTAAGTCGTTGTTCATGGAAATCATTTTCATCATCTTCTTCTTCATTTAATAATAAATTATCTAATCGAACATTTCCATTCATTGCTTGTTCATTTTCTTCATCAGTATCACTTAATATTTCTTCGTTTTCATCAATTAATTCTTTTTGTTTTTTTATTTTTTTAGTACTATGACCATTCGTTAATTCAGATGAAGTTTTTTGTTTCTTCTTTCCATTTTGAGTTTTAAGTAATTTCTAATAGAATCATAAAAAACGACATTTACATTTAATAGAAAAATATACCTTTCGTTTCTTATCTTTTGGTTCAGAATTCTGTTTACGAATAAAGAAAGGCATTTTTATCTAAAAAATACATAAGAAATTTTTTCATCAATATCTGATCGTTATTGTAATTTCAATTCAATAAAAATAGTGTAGAAATGTAGATGTGTTTTTGTACAATATATCACAAATTAAAATCATCATCTTCAATATCATCGAGCGTGCTCAAACAGACTTCTTCTGCTTGTTCATGTTTGGAATTTAATTCAAATGTATTATTATCATCATCAATTTTACGACGTTTTACTTGTGATTGCTCATCGAGAGATGAATTCTCATCAATTGGAATAAGTATTTGAGTATTTATACGTGTTACTGGTCCTTGTTTATCAATTGGACTTAATTTTTCATTTAATACTGGTGGTTTAGCTGAAAATGGTGTGGAATATTGTTGAGTACGTTGATGTGATTTAACTTCTTCTAGTTTTTCTTTATGTGCTATTTGAGATGAAAGAAGAGTATTAGGTTTATTTATTATTGATGGTTGTGGTTGTGTTGGTACAACTGGAGGTGGTGGTGGTATAAATGGTTTCTTAAATTCACAAGGCATTGTTCGCTTCTCATTTTCATCATTTTCAGTCCATGGCATTGATTGATCATATTCACGAGCAATCCGTTCTAATTCAAAATCACGTAATTCAGGAAGTTTAAGCCAATCGAGAACGAGATGAACTGAAACGAGAAATTAAAACCATTACGTATCATTCTGTGCTAACTGATCGATTTGAAGTATGATTGTTTAACAATATTTTACCATGTCCTTCATATTCTTTTTCCGGTTGTTGTGCAAATGTTGTATGAAGAGCATTCATTTTATCTAATAATTTTCCACAACCATTAAGACTTGCTTCCATTAATAGAACAGCAACAATAGCATCAAGAATATTTACAGTTTTTGAAAAACATAATTTCGCATGTGCTAAATAATTTTCATTAAATAAACAAAATTTTGTTCTTTAGTCTTTTTTACCTTGTGCTAAACGAACAGTACTTTCTAATTGACGAACAGTAATATGTCGCTCAGTATTTTCAGTGACTCGACGGGACATTGAATAATAACTAAATAAATTAGTAGAATTAAATGATTTGTTATGGAATAGTTTCGTTTATACGTTTTAATAATTGTTTCAGCTTCTGGTGTCATTTCAGGTTCAGCAGATTTTATTGTAATAAAATAATCACGCATTTTTGCTATTGACCATGGTTTTTTTTAAAGCTCCGTGACCTAAATTTAAAAATTAACTTATTATTTAAACAGAGAAAATAAATACGAACCAAGTAAATCAATTCCTTCAATAATATATGTTGCAGCAACATTATCCCATTCTGTATTTGGTGTATCGAGGGTTAGTAAAATTAAATCAAATCGACTAAGTAATGGTGATGAAAGTGCTGTATTGATTGTTAATGGATCTTCATTATCATAAACTCCTTTTGGATTTGCTGATGCAATGATTGAACAACGTGTTTGTAATGTTCGTAGCATTCCTCCCTTAAGTTTTCATTTTCTTATAAATTAACAAAAGAAAAAATATTTTGAAATTACTTTTGCTAAACTAATTGTTTGTTGTTCCATTGCTTCAAGTATACAAGCTTTGTCTTGAGTTCTCATTGTATTAAATTCATCAATACAACAAATACCTTCATCAGCTAAAACTAAAGCACCAGCTTCTAATGTCCATCCCGGTCCATCCTATAAGAAAAAAAGAACATTAATTTTTTTAAAATTCTTATTTAAATAAATTTACTCGAACTGCAGTTGCTGTTAAACCTGCACTTGTTGAACCAACTCCTGTTGTTAACACAGCTCGTGGCATCATTTTTGCAACATATTTGAGAAAAAATGATTTTCCAGTTCCTAAAAAAAATATTTTCTACTTAAAGAGAATTTTTCTTATTTTCTACCTGGATCACCAACTAATAATAAATGTGATTGACTACGAACTCGAATACCACGTTTTTCATCTGAAATCTAAATTATTTCTCAATAAAAATATCTACAAAACAAAATTTTCAACTCACAGTTACACCACCTGATAAAATAAGTGCAATCGCTAATTTAACAATATAAAGACCATAAAGTTGTGGACATATACTAGCTAATATACGATTTCGAGCTGAAAGTGGAGTTCGATGATTATCTTTCCAATATTGTTCAAATTCATCATGCTTTAAAAATAAGAATATTTTTCTTTTGTTAAAACAAAAATTTTCATTTGAAAACTAACAGCAGTTGGAGAAACACTGACAGTTTGATCATTTAATACAACAACATTATTTGCTTCTAAACATAGACTAGTTTGACCACGACCACCAACTTGTACTGGACGCCAACGATCTTGAACAAAACCACTAGAAAAAAAATAAACTATTTAAGCATTAAATCTGACCTTGAAGAATTTTAGATGAATCTTTTAAAATAGGGTGATCTATTTTTCATCATTCTCGAAGAATATAAATATTAAACTTACTAAATAGCAACATCATCGCCTGGTTTACATGCTTCAACAAGATCATCTTCGAGAATAACACTAAACGAACGTGGTAAATTACTTGATGAAACACGCTGTAATGATTCTTGAACTTTGATTTCACGATAATCGGATAGACTTATTGATTTATCTTCCGCTAAAATATTAAAACTATTTTATAAGCATTTAAAAAGCAACTCTAATCAAATTTCTTTCTAATGAGAATTTAATACACACTTTCTTTTAATTGATTGAATTTAGTGGATGTACAATCTTCATTTGAACATCGTGTTGGTTTTAATTTAATTTTTTCCATATTACTCGATTTTGTTACTGCTGTAATTGATCCACATTCTTCACATTGAAATGATCGTGTAGCATCAAATACATAGGGTGTACCAACACGAATAACTGTACCATGAAAACAAATAAAATGTCCACGATCTTGACAACTAAATATTATTTTTATAAATACAATTAATAGGAAAAAAAGATATACTTTGGAATTTCATGACGAACAAGATCTGATCGATTACTTCCAAATTTAACTATTTTTATTTTTGCTGTTATATCTTCAGACTAGAAATAATTTGATCGAATTTTATTTTATTATAAAAATATTTACTAATGAATAATCTGATAATTCGATAGCTATTTGTTTAAATGCTTCAGTAAGTTTATCGAAAAAATAACGAGCACGTGATCCTAAATCCCAAAGAAGTCGTCCTAATTCAAAATCATATTCTAATAATTTACAATAACTAAAAAAAGAAATTTTAATAAATTAATTTATTCGAAAAAATCAATTTTTACTTTAATGTTAATGTGAGAACATTTGATATTTCGGATTTATTATTTGAGAAAAGTTTAAGAATATCATCGCAACAATAGGGACTTCGAAAAAATCCTTTTAAAGCTTCTAGAATAATAACAAAGAAAATAGTTTCATTGAAAAAATCGATCTTTGAATTTACCTAATAGTGAAACTGAACCTTTTGAAGACATTTCGATTTGAGCACAGTTTGATTTTGGATTATTATTATGGATTTGATTTTTTCTAGGGTAAAATCAAGAAGAATGTCATTCGTTGATATCAACCAATAGGATGTAACTTCGAATGAACATTAAAATAGAAAACCGACAGGAGAAAGAAAAAAATATTTTTTTAAATTAAATAACAACAAATTATAATAACGGATTTTTTAAACATTTAAAATATAGAGTATTGTAATATTTTTGAGATTATCATATTGATAAGACTGTTCAATGAGAATTTCAACTCATTTTTTTATAGGAATGAAAATTATAGTTACAATGTATAGAAGTGTTTACTCATTGGAATAAATATATATAGGCTTGACCTTAGTCCGTTGATGTACTTTTTTTCTCTCTGGTATAAGTAAATAAACTGATTAGAGTTTTTTGATAAGATGAATGTGTAGATATAAAAGCGACTTCAACAAACATATCTCTATATTTTTCAGTATGTTTTGGTTATATTTAACTGTGATATGCTCTGTGGTAGCTACAAGCGCACAGCAATCAGCACCACCACCATTTGATATTCGTATTGATCATTATAAAGTTGATACAACCAAAGACTTGGTAATTAATACACCTAGACCAGGATTATCATGGAAATTACCTATATTTACAGAGCGTAATGTTCAACAAACAGCATATCAAATTCAAATTCAATCTGATATAGATAAATGGGATAGCGAAAAAATTCTTTCAAGTCGATCAACACATGTTTCGCATGAAAATATGAAAGATCTTCAATCATCAACACACTATCAAATTCGTCTTCGCGTATGGACAACTTTATCTGGTCAAGCAAGTTCATGGACAAATTGGATACAATTTCGAACATCAGTATTTAATTTACATGAATATATTATGCAAAAAAATGATGATGTTTATTGGATTGGTTCAACACAAATATATATGAATGAATTACGAAAAGAATTTAATGTGTCTAGTACCAGTCCAATTCGAACAGCAACTGTTCTTATCTCTGGTATTGGATATTATGAATTATATGTCAATGGACAAAGTGTTGATCCTAGTCGAAAATTAGATCCAGGATGGACGACATATGAAAAACGTACTTTAATGGTTTCATATGATCTTACATCAATGATTAAAGTTTGAAAATATTTTTCATAGTTAGTTTTATATTTTAAATATTTATTTAGGGTGGTATGAATGCTGTAGGTGTTAAATTAGGTAATGGTTGGTATAGTCAAGAACAATATGTACCACCTTCAGCTAGCGAACCAAATTATGGTAAAGAAAATACAAACTGAAATAAATAGTTTTTGAAAATTTCGTTTAGGTCCACCTCGTCTTATGTTTGCTTTGAGTATTGTTTTCGTAAGTTCTGAAACTATGTCAGTCGTTAGTGATCAGACATGGAAAGGACGTCAAGGATCAATTGTACATGATAGTGTTTATAATGGAGAAATAGTTGATAGTCGAAATGATCGTGTAGACTGGGCTAAAGTTGGATTTAATGATAGCTTTTCACTTTGGGTGACACCTGAAATAATGCAATCACCAATTAATGTAGCTACAAATGGTCAATTAAGTTTACAAGATATGCCACCAATACGTGCTGGTGTAGATGCATTACAATTTGAAATTGATAATCCATTAAATCTAGAGAATAGTTATTTATCAAAAGAAGATTTAGCTGGTATTCAAGGTGGAAATTTACATGACGGTGGAGTATTAAAACCTATTAGTGTATCAACACCAGTTTTAGGTGTTCATACATTTGATATGGGACAAAATATGGTTGGTTGGTGTCGTTTTCATTTCCATGGTCCACGTGGTCTTGGAATTTATATTCGTCATGCAGAAGTATTGGCACAACCAGTTGAATCAACAAAGTTTGTTGTTTAAAAAGAAATCATATTAATAAATATACATATTGTTAATATTTGTAGACAATCATATGGTGGTATTTATACGGAAAATCTTCGTGGTGCTACACAAACTGATAGTTATATATTACGTGGAGATCCAAATGGTGAAATTTATGAACCACGGTAAATTTTGTAGATAGCTTTTACTTTTATTATTTTTACATTCCTGAGTTTAGTTTTACTGTTCATGGTTTCCGTTATATCTCAGTTTATGGTTCACCTGTTGGTTTATCAGTTAATGATGTTGAATGTCCTGTTGTACATAGTCAAACAACTGTTAAGGGACATTTTGCTTCAAGTAATCCAATTATTAATCAAATTCAACATAATGTTCAATGGGGTCAATTAGGAAATTCAATGTCATTACCAACTGATTGGTAAGAAGAAAATTTCTTTTATATCAATCGCATAGAATACATATGCCAAAGAAAAAAATACATATTTTGTTTTTTTTATCTTAGTCCACAGCGTGATGAACGAAAAGGATGGATGGGTGATGCTGCATTAACAGTTAATGAAGCTTTATATAATTTTGATTTAATTAAATTTTATTTAAATTTCTTAAATTTAATTACTGATATTCAATTAGCAGATGGTTCAATCGCTGATACTGTACCAATAACATTTGGTGGTTATCCTTCAGATCCAAATTGGGGAACTGCATTACCAACAATAACATGGCAATTATATCGTCATTATAATGATGAACAAATTCTTCGTGATCATTACTCATCTATTCGTGCATATGTTGAAGCACTTCGTGCTGGATACAAAAATACAGGTTTAGCTAAATTAGCTTATCATTATGGTGATTGGGTTCCACCACCACCACAACCAATGACAAATGTTTATCTTATTGCATCATTTGCATTTATGCATGATGTTTCATTACTAATCAATATGTCACAAATTATCGGTTTTACAAATGATACACAAGCATATACAGGATTTTATACACAATTAGCAGAAGAATTTCATCGTGTATTTTTCACACCATCAGGTGGTTATTATGCTGATGGTATGCAAGCAGCACAAATTCTTGCATTAGCTTTACCTAATGTTGTTCCAGCAAGTGCAAGAGATTCTGTTTTTCAACATTTACTTCAAGATATAAATGCAAAAGGAAATCATACATCAACAGGCATTGTTTCTACTGCACAACTTTTTCCACTTTTATCTGATAATGGTCAACATAATTTAGCCGTTCAATTAGTTTCGTCTACAACATATCCATCATATGGTTATATGTTTAATAATCCATATGAAAATGCTACAACTATGTGGGAATTATGGGATGCACCAATGGAAGGTCCAGGAATGAATTCACGAAATCATCATATGTTTGCAAGTAT